TATGTCTGAGATGTATATATGCTTTTCGTTATGTATGTGACTTGTTCATAGAAGTCTTTTTGCATACAGAATGTCACAGCTCATTGGACATCTTTCTATTACTGTTTGGCTTCCGCCAGCCCCTTACTCTGTATTACTGTCATTATTGTCAAGCAGGCCTTCGGTAATCACTGATTACTGGCCGGTTGCGATGTTAAACCCATAGAGACGGGTTTGGGTCGTGACAATTTTCTTTGGTGCTCTATAATAGGGCTGATTCTGAATTCTTTCCAAGACTTTGTAAACCGAAATTCGGAATACGGTTGTGACTGCCTGTGCAGCCCTCAGTCATGTCTCTTGCTTGTTATATCTAGTGTTACCTCGGCCTCGCTTCGGCGAGCGTTTTCTCTTCTCTTATTTTTACGTCTTTGTCCTTGGTGTGTCTTCCTCGGCTCTTGCATACTTCTCTATCCTGGCCATAGGTTCTTCCATACTTTTTGACAGTGTCTTTGCCAGCGATTTTTGAAGCAGACAATCATCGTTCAGGCCGTTTTTGAAAGACATGACCGCCACCTCTTGGTTGCACCTTGGTATTCGGTTGAATACCTTAGAATACCTCTTGGCATAAGCCCTGAGGCTTTCATCCTCGCCAATTTTCAGAGCCATCAGGGAGTCCACCCTCAACGGCTGTAGTTTGTTTGTCACAAACCTGGCCACGAACATCTTGGCCAGGCCTTTCCAGCTTTTCACAGTTCATTTCGACAACTTGTGAAACCAGTCTGATATGATTTCCCCAAAGGATGAGGGGAACACCTTGCAGAGTAACGGTTCGTTCCCGGTGTATAGTGTCATTGAGTTCAAGTACAAGCCGATGTGAAAGTTAGGGTCAGACTTACCGTCGTATATCTAGAATCTCAGCATGTGGAACCTTTTCGGGGCCTCAAATTTCTACAATTCTACCAAGAACGGCGTTCTCGGCTTGACTGGACAGGTTACGTCGGCATCTTGTCACTTTCTCTAGAGGTAATCCCTCAGATCCTCCTTGGTCCGTCCAGGAGCTCGGCTATCAACGAATTTTAGCCTCTTTGGTGCGCTACTCTTGGTGTCGTTATAGGTCCTTTTTGACCTCCATCCATTAGTCGTGTCGAAACAAAGCTTCTTCCCTTGAACATACCCATGTTCTTTGGTATAGGCTTCTTTGGTACGATGTGTTTTCTGAGACTCTCCCTTCATTGACTCTCCTCGCCCGACCTCCCGTAAAGGCTGGTGAGAGTGTTCCTTGGTCCTGTCGTGCTGAGGAACTAGAGGAACTGTTTTCTGCCCCCCTTTCTGGGCATCTTTTTTGGCCGCTGGAATCGGTGTATCTTGTAACGGAAACGGTGGTTGCATGACGTTGTTCTGCATCATGAAATTGACGGTCGATTGCAGGTCTGCCAATTTGTTCGCCATTCCTTTCATCTCGCCGTCCCTCCGCAGGCATCTATATTTCCATACCAGGAGGTTGTCCTAGTTATAATACCTGCCTCGGTCTGCCTTCTTTGATACGTCTCCCTCCTGGCCGATGTCTTTCTCTTCGGGATTCTGATCTCGAGTTTTTTCGTTGCATTATCCTCCTCTACGTTAGGATCAAAGTGTTTACCACTTCCAACAGGGATGTCGTCCCCAATCTTCTATTTCTGTCTGTCGTTAGCCATTTATTCTCCTTTCTTTCTCACAAACGGTGCCAAATTGTGTGTGCTATTTTCTAACTACACTGCCAAACAGATACTCAGCTGGAGAACACCGGCAGAATAGATTGCTCCCGAACGACCTGTCACAAAAAGATGAGACTCCGGTGGTGGTTCGTCCACCCAGGGATACTCCGATGATCAAGTCAGTACTCAATTATCTCTTAAAGATAGCAAATAGTGGTTTAACTCACTATCCAATAAACAAAAAGCGTACCTTAGATCCACGAGGGTGCCTTACTTTTATAGCTAGCACTAACTTGGTTCCTCTAGAAGCCTAGTTTATCTTGGACTCTGGCTCAATGCTCATCTTGGACTCTCCTATAGATAAAGATAAACTCCCTAAGAATTTTATCCTTATTTAGGCTGAGATCATCTCCCATTCTAGAACTCTTATAGCTTATCCGTTTATCCTAAATTCCGGTATCTCCGCAGATAACCTCGGCTTAGTCGAGATAATCTCGGCGTCATGACCAGGACACGTAGCACCTCGATTGACACTTCGATACCATATTAACCACATGTTATTATTCAAAAAATATGTCCCTACAATTAACTTAAATTTTATCTGTAAAAAAATTTTAATCCCTACCAACATATTTATATTTATAATATTTGTCTTTGTATAAAAAATAAGTCAACAAATCTCCTTTGAGAAAACCGTCAGCCCGCAAGCAAGCGACGAGGACGAGGTTGGTATTTCCAATAATGGCGGGGTTGCTTTTCATGTCAAATCAAAAATCAACTTTTTCAAATGCAATAATTGTACTACCAAAAAAAGTTGAATTCCCCAAAATGAACAATTATTTTGGGACGGAGGGAGTATTTATCGTCTTTGGGAGCCCCGTTCCGCTTTTCATTTTTTTTAAAAATATAATATTATTACATTTATCAATTTTTTATATTATCTATAATTTATCAATTTATGTGACAAATTCATAATCATAAATTGGGCACATCGATATATGAAAAGTGTATCACATTCATAATCATTTATTAACAAATATAATAATCATAAAATATGTGATACATTTAACATTTTTTAATATAATTATATCAAAATATAAAATTAATATATTAAAAAAAATGTAGTTTAGTCAAATATTACTGTCATATAATTTTAAATATAATTTTCATATAAAAAATTTATAAATAATATATTAATAAGTCCAATCTACACAATCAAATATACTAAAAATTAATAATCATTGATGTATTGAAATATAGGGATAATATTTTTTCAGTTCCAATTTAGAACACTAAATTAGCAGTTCTAAAAGCACCACTAATGAGCTGGCAAGTGTAAGAAAGAAAAAAAAAACAAAAATAAAAACAAAAACAAAGGCCAAACTATTGCATCAATAGTAGGGTCCACATAGTGTCATGTCATTAGTGGTGTATTAGTAGTGTTGAATTAGTGATCTGAAACATTTTTCATATTTTTTAGGTCAGACTTCTCACCAGTTTGTGCGATCGAATTGAAGTGTGCTGTTGTCTGTGGGAGCCCATCACGGATGTCGTTTCGATAATTCGAATCATTCAATATGTAGAACTTTGTGAGTATTTTATTCCTGTAAAAAATCCCGTTGACTGAATATCGATAGCTACTTGATCGGATCAGATTTCTATCAATGATAAATATAATTTTCAAAATAAATTATTGACAAAAATCTGATCCGATCAACATAATTTTTTACAAAAATTAAATATTTAATAGACTTTACACAGTGAACGATTCGAATTATGAGTCATGATAAGTCTTACTGATCCAACAACACTATTCAATCCAAGACAAACTGCTCCATATTTTTTTTTTCATAAAATGTAAAACTCATTAAATGATATGATTAGATTCTTACGTTACTATTTTTTGAATGTTTTGTTTTTTAAGTCCACCCTTCCGTTTCCTAATCTTTACGAAGGCAAATAATATAAAATACTCGATAAAATAATGGCAAATGCAAACAAGGAGAAGACAACAATATCCATAGACCGCGACGTGGGTCCCATGACCATTTGGTCTCCCTCCAAAAGGTACCATTCGAATTCAAAGTAGTTTATATGAGTCATTTATTATTATTAACGGGATGTATTATACACATCAACCCTTTTATCACACATCATTATTTAAATTTAAGGGTCATTTGGGAGGTTGGTTGGGAACTAAGACAATTAATAAAGATAAAATAAGTTATTTTAATTAATAAAATAAAATATTACATTTAAATTATAATTATTTCTTTTTTACAATTATCAAATCTAATATAAAAAAAAGTCAATCATAATTTCAAACAGAATTTTTTTAATCAGAATAAAATAGTTAAAAAATCAAAAAATCATACTAAAATTTTATTCCAAACAAAGGCTTACACTTCAATATAAGTAATTTGTATTTTTTATTCTCAATTCACTCTAATAAGTTTTCATAATACCCTCATTTTGAACATTATTGCTCTAATCCTAACCTTAAACAATCACTTATTACTACTACTCCTATCGCTAGCAATTGACTCCACCTCTTTTTCTCTTTGTCGCTACCTCCTCAACCCTACCTCCTTCCCACTCACCATTATCATCGTGACCTATTCACCTCGAACCACCACCATAATCTTCCTTTCTCCATATTAGATTTACGATTTTTAGAGATGAAATAAATAATAATACCACCCACATTTTAGGATTTTTATAAAGAAAGTAAAAGTCTCAGTAAAATCTAGTATTTTCATAGGGGAATTAAAAAAAATGCTAAGGAAGGACTGCGATGGTTATGGGAAGGGGGTTTGGACTAAAAAAAAACAACAAATAAAAAATAAAATTAGTTTTCACTCTCTCCTCTATTTTCACCACCTTCAGCCACCACCTACCGTTGCTTCCCAACACCATCAGCCACTAGACACCACCACACACATCAAACAAAAAACCAAAGAAATAAAAACAAAATAATAATAATGGATTAGCCCACTATCTTTTATTTTTGAAAAGAGATTAGCTAATCGCTTTGGTTATGATTAGCCCAATGGCTTCGCTTCAACATTTTGGATCACCTCTCGTAGAACCGGGCTTTGCAAGATGGTATTAGTGATTTGATTTCAGATTTGTACTGTTGGGCTTAAGCTCAGGATCCTAGGGCAAAAGCCCATCAAAATTGGATTTCTAATCAATGGGGGGGAGACGGTAACGTGGCGTAGCATCAATAACAGTTGTAGAACTCGACTGAGACATCACTTGTACCAGATCCAAACCCACGAAACCAATAAATACCCACACTCCGTTGTCCAGCAGTAGCTTCGTGTTGTATTCATTCTTCTTCTTCTTCTTCTTCTTCTTCTTCTTGCTCCCCAAGTGATTCCAGAAAATTACTTATACTCCAACTACTCTCTCTCCCTCTATCAATACCCATATCTATCAATTTCTCTAACCATTGCTAGGTCATTCACAAGATGATGATCAGAATTCGAAGCAGAGATGGGTCAGAGCGAGTCTCAATCGACAACCCACTCATCACAATTGCCCAACTCAAAACCCTAATCGAATCCCAACTCAGAGTCCCCACTCTCAATCAAACCCTATCCACCAACCAGAACCTCTTGCTCGCCAAAACCCTAGACGAAATCGCTCGATTCACCGACATGTCCAACCCTCAAACCCCAATCTCCACTCTCGGAATCACCCACGGCTCCATGATCTACCTCGCTTACGAAGGCGAGCGAACCGTTTCCGGTCCCAATTTCAACCCGGCCGGTTCGTTCGGCCGGAAGATGACCATGGATGACCTGATCGCCAAGCAAATGAGGGTGACTCGCCAAGAAAACCCTCATTGCGAGCTTGTCTCGTTCGATCGCGACGCTGCGAACGCGTTCCAGAACTACGTCAATGAATCGCTCGCTTTTGCAGTCAAGCGCGGCGGAGTTATGTACGGCACGGTGTCGTCGGAGGGGAAGGTGGAAGTCGATTTCATATACGAGCCGCCGCAGCAGGGCACGGAGGAGAATTTGATAATTTTGAGAGATCCTGATGAGGAGAAACTTGTGGAGGCGATTGCTATGGGGTTGGGGATGAGGAAAGTAGGATTTATATTTACTCAGACGATCAGTCAGAACAAGAAGGATTATACCCTGTCGAATGCGGAGATTTTGCAGGCGGTGGAGATGCACGGGGAAGGGGATTTGAAGGAGTGGGTGACGGCGGTGGTGAAATTGGAGGTGAATGAGGATGGTGGTGCTGATGTGCATTTCGAGGCTTTTCAGATGAGTGATATGTGTATTAGGTTGTTTAAGGAAGGGTGGTTCGAGACGGAGATTGGGGAAGATGATGATCCAAAGTTGTCGAAGATGAAGAAAGAAGTGGTTGTTGGAGGGAAGGATACTAAGGAAGTTGATAACGACTTTTTCTTGGTGGTAGTTAAGATTTTCGATCACCAGGTGCGATCTATATATCACTCTGGTTACTTATATATCATATCTGTAGTTTACAATCTGATTTATATTGATTTTGCATGTTTTTATAGGAGATTTAGTAAGCTGTATCGTGGGATTATTGGTTTGGGCACAAGTAATTGTCTCTTTTGTTCTTGACTATCTAATTGGAGATATTAACCGAAGACAATTAGTAAAAAAAGAAAACAAAACACAAAAAGAGAAAAGCTTTGATGCATGTTTGCGACACATGCAACAAGAAGATAATGAAACAACAATCTCTCTTAGCTAAAAGGATAGTAGCAATTTAAACATTTTTTGGCTTATAGAGGAAAAAGATTTATTTTGGTGGTTATCGCTGTAATGTCTTTTTTCCTTTAACCATTAATGTAAGAAATATCATGACATTTAGGTCTTTATGTTGGTTATACTCACATGAGCTCTTTTTTTTTTTTTTTTGGTTTAACTTAACTATTTTTATATAGTACATCAATGGCGCGTGCGTGTCCATGTGTGTATTTGCGTCCAGGATGAGATTGATTCACTTATACTAGGCAGGGACCATGTAATATTTACTTTTTAAAATATTTGACATAGTAAGCGAAGTAAATCGTTGTGCTGATTCACATAAATTGTGACTTCTGACACAGAATTTAGTTCATGTAAATCGTTGTGCTGATTCACATAAATTGTGACTTCTGACACAGAATTTAGTTCATTATGACAAAAGGTTGATAAGTAAAATGTGTCGTCTACTGTTGTAAACATATTTATGTTTTAAGAAACATAACAATTTAATATATAATCTCAATTTAACATTTTTTTAATGGGTGTGGCCTGAATTTTTTTTATTTACTATTACCTTTAGCATGGGGGATGTATTTTGTTCAATTGAAGCTTGTCATACTTTTTTCTGTTGTCAATTTCTCCTATCTTTATAGTTCCTTTGACTTAAAAACAATATTTCTTCTCCAGTCCTTTTGGACTTGTGACCCTTAAGTTTCGTAAATTTATTTCCCCTTATTTTATTATTTCATCATGCGATTCGTCCATCTCGTCACACTCACTCTGGTAACGGTTACTTCAGGGTTATTTGGGCATGTTAACTGTTAGAAGCTTAGCTACATTTAATTAAACATGGGTGGCCATATAGGCATCTTATATTGTATCTCTTTAATTTGTCACACCCACTAATTGTAGATGAATCCACTAGACTTCCCTTGTGAATTTTGTAGGTAATGTGCTCTTCACCCTGTTGATATGGAGCATTCATTCTAGGTAGCAAGATTTGCCTTCTCGTTTATGAAACTTTCCTTCCCTCCTACTTTCTTAACTCCCTACCACACATAGTACGCGTTTCTATCTTCTTCGATTGTTTTCAAAAAATATGCATAACGGGAATCAGCCCTTATTTCATATTAAACTGCCATCCCTAATTATTAGCAAGCTTAAATATCTTAACAATACCCTTTTTCCAGAATTTCTAGTGGTCTTTATTTTTTTGATTTCATACCCAAATCCAGCCTAAACTTCTACCAAATTCAAGCTTTTAAACCTAAACTCAACCTTCTAAACCTAAACTCAACCTTCTTGGTTCAAAACTATAAACATTAAAGCCCGAGCCCCATCATATTTGGTCATGGGGCATCCTTTGTTGACTTTGTCCTGCATCACATAGCCTAATACTACTTTTTCACCTTTTAAAACTATAAGCCTACTTGCTTTTTATGACTAAGATCCACCATGAATTCAATTCCAGCCATCATTATTTTATGTTTCTTATTATGCCCAACATCAGGTAAGTGAATCCCTTTTTAATTTTTATACACACAAGGTTCTATAGAAAAAATTGCATCAAGGGGGTGCAGCTCGTGTACAAAGAGGAAAGGATCTATACACCAAACACTACCTAAGGGCTGGTTTGGGGTGTTCTAAAAAAGTGCACTTTTTGTCTTTTTGGACTAAAAAAGTTAAGAAAAAAATATGGAGGTTTGGGTTAACTTTTTAACTTTTTATGAAAAAATGTGTATTAAAATATTGTATAAAAAAAGTGTGTAAGAGATGATTAGTTAGAGGTGGCCCCAGCTGTACAACCGGCTGGAGTGAATTGGCTATGGAAATTATTGCCTAATTTTTGTACAAAGCGCTGGACGGTTTTGTTTGGCCTGTGGGGGTTATCACAGGTCCCATTTTAATAATCTGAACCGTTCAATGTGTGTAACTCGTCGAACACTATGTATTTATAAAAAATCACGTTAATCGGACATCGATAGCTATCTGATCAGACTTATTTATTTTTCAATCATTAATTATAACACCATCCATTTGTTGTTTTTTGATTTCATACCCAAATCCAGCCTAAACTTCTACCAAATTCAAGCTTTTAAACCTAAACTCAACCTTCTAAACCTAAACTCAACCTTCTTGGTTCAAAACTATAAACATTAAAGCCCGAGCCCCATCATATTTGGTCATGGGGCATCCTTTGTTGACTTTGTCCTGCATCACATAGCCTAATACTACTTTTTCACCTTTTAAAACTATAAGCCTACTTGCTTTTTATGACTAAGATCCACCATGAATTCAATTCCAGCCATCATTATTTTATGTTTCTTATTATGCCCAACATCAGGTAAGTGAATCCCTTTTTAATTTTTATACACACAAGGTTCTATAGAAAAAATTGCATCAAGGGGGTGCAGCTCGTGTACAAAGAGGAAAGGATCTATACACCAAACACTACCTAAGTCTCAACAAATCCAGAATTTGATTAAAGGATGGGATGGGACAATCATCCCTGAAAACCAACTATGTGAAAGAGAGGAAAATTTAACCATTTTATTGTATGGATCTCAATTTCTCATGTGGCAAGGTACTTTGGATGAAATTTTGGGAACTAGTTAATTTAGTTAGCTTTTTGGCTTTTTACGAAAAGACGTGTAGAAAGTACTTTTTGGTAGTGACTTTTTTGGCTTTTTGACTATTTTAGGTGGTTTATTTTCTTTTCCCTTGTTCGGGAACATCATTGCCCAGAGCTTGCTTAAGCTTTTTGCCAGGCCTTCACCTAACTTCTGCTAACTGCTTTAGGAAGCCCCTGCCTTGGACAGCCACTTGAAAATTTCAATTGAAATCTAGAAGGCATCACTGTGCTATTCAGGATTTATGAAGTTTTATTTGTGGTGGTATGTCTATTAGCGTGAAATAATTTATTTTTTCATTTTTTCTTTTCATTACTCGATAGGAACTTCGTGCGTACGAAGAGGGGAAAAAAATGTCCCTGTTATGGGTAGTTTGATGAACATTTTCATGTGCCCCTTGTACAGCAATTACTTGTCTTACTCGCATGGCAAGATTCTGTTGGATAAGCTATCTTTTACCGTTTTAGGTGTCAGATCCTGGGTTAGCACTGGTGATGAATAGGTCTGGGCAGAGAAAATCACAGTTACGGAGATGAAAATCCCAGTCCCCTGGAAGTATTTACTCCTTGCCCCGTCTGAAAGAAAGCCTATGGCACTGCTGCTCTATTTCTTTGTTGCCTCTGAACCTGTTCTAGTCCCCTGGGAGTACTTGTTCCATGCCCTTCCTAAAGAAAGCCTATGACACTGCTCTATTATTGGTTTTTGTCTGGACTCTACTTCATCACTGGCCGTCTAGATTTCTCTTAGGGTTCAGGTCGTGTTAGGTAATTCATTTCTGGACACAATATTAGCCCCATATATGGCTATATCTACACACCAGTGACACCTAATTGATAGAATCACTACATTGTAATGCGCATTTGCGAGACCCATTTGCTGTTTCAATGGCTTGCTACGTTTCTTCTTCCTAAATTAATGTACATAAATTATTGTGTTTGTTGTAGAGTACAAATTTTGTGTGCCACTCTTTTAATCTGCTTTTTATGGTAATGCAGGGCCCACTTTCATCAACATTTCCCATTGAGAACAGGAATACAGCAGTGACAATGAAAGCCCTGAAGAATCATCTGGACCGAACAAGGAGCCTTCCATTTGTGAAGCGAATTTCTGATTTTCATCTGCTGCTCTTGCTGGCCAGGTTTTTAGATGTTAGCGCTGATGTTCCTGCATTGGCACAGTGTGTACAGACACAGATTGCTGTGCCAGAAGGTTACCAACTCCTAATTGAGTCCATGGCCAGTGCTTCTTGATGCTGTTTGTAATTCCTTTAGGCAAACTGATACACCTCATCAAGCCTTTTGGATGGTTTCAACCATGTGTTAATGCTTGAGCTCAAGATGTCCGGTGGAGCATTCTCAATCACATTTGGACAATCTGCATGGCCCTCCAAATTTGGCTCTTTGTTTTGGCTGTAACTTAAATCTAAGCATTATATTGCTTCAATTTGTCTGGATATTTTGTGTTTTCAAAGACACGGCCTGTGTATTTATTAGTACAGGACATGGGTTAGTCGTTGATCAAGCTGGAGTCAGAATTTAGGACCATGGTTATATAATCTTCTTATAAACATTTTCTGTTATGAATGAAAGTCGTTTTATGTTGGAAGCATGATCCTTTTTTCTTTTTATGATTAGTACATGTTTCCCCCCAAATACCTTTCTTTTCCGACTTCAGACATGCAAATCCAAAAGTGGTTTCAAAATATCAACTTTGCTCTCTTTATGCTTGGTTTTTACTGTAGCAATTTTCTTTTTCCTTTTGGCTAGTATTCTGTTGTTGCTTGTGATGGTGACGATCATTATGAATAATGTTTCTTTTGATAGCTATGGAGGAGTAAAGATACTGACTTAAGAGGGAAATAGCAGTTTAGCATGTAAATTTTTAGGTGTATAGCATTGCTGAGGAAGAAGTGGCAAATTCCTCTTGACAAAATTTTCTGTACGTATTAAAAATTTTCCTTTCTCAAACAATGACCTTGTGTTCGCAATATATTAATTGAAGTTGAGTTTTGAAAAACATGACTTTAGGATTAAAAGTTTGCTTTTAAATCAAATTTTCTGAAACGGATTAAATTTGATGAACAAGTTTAAAATCACATGGATTTTATAGGCAAGATTTCACAAATCTCTTGAATTTAATTTTTCTAAAAAATCAATCAATAGTAATACCATGCTACCAATTTTACCCTCGAGCAAATGAATGAAAGACCTATACACCCTTTTTACACTCATCTATTTACTTTTTATTCAATACATTTTCTTATCACATTTTATTTATCAACTCAAGCATCAACATATACATGAACAGTGGGAGAAAGTCTAGCCCTTTCTCACAAGGCTATGAGTTAGCATGTACATGTCATACAAAAGACTAACTCAGTGATAAAACCTTACCTATTATTCTATGCAATGTTGATACATGACGACATAATGCAAAGTTAGACCACATGGGAGAAGTTGAACGCTTGAATGCAAGCAGCTTTTTTAGCAGTTACCTTGATCTTTTTTAGAACTTGACCAGTAATCTGCCATAGAAATGCTTAAGCAGTTACCTTAAGCTGCTAAAAAGCAAACTTAAGCTGCCATAAAAAAAAAAAAGAGCTAAAAAAAGCAGTTGACACAGTAATCTGCTGCTTATTAGAAGTAAATCATCAAAGCCAGGTTCAATACACTCTTTTTTTCTTTTTTTTTTTAACTCAAATACACAATATCTTACATAATGAAAAGTTGAAACACTGCAGAAAACAGGGTAGCATCCACAAGGGTGCACGCACCATTTAAACATGAAAATAGAGTGAATTATTCCTTGCAGTTATTACAAGCCATTCAAGTAATCACTACACAAGTAGGTTCTGTTGGCCAACAAAAAAAATGAAGGCCACTTAATCCCCAACACAGGAGGTTAGGAATTCATTTAAACTATTTTCCAAGCAAGCAAAACATGTTAACAAATAATGACTGGCCTGCATCCTCAATGATCCTGATGAAGCCATGTCCTGCAATATTCACTCAACCAATGAAGAGCAAGCATTCGAGCAGCAAGGGCAAGTCAATCCTAACCATGATGTGGTTCCAAAGCTTAAGAGTAAGATACATGTCCCAATTGTATTGAGCTTAGCAATTGTTCTTCTAATACAAAGGAATCTAATCAATTAAAACTTTGTTTAAAATGAACCTTGTTTGTTCAATCAAACAACAACTGTTAACCTTTCAGTCAACTGTCGTGCTGGGTTTCCCACCTTCATCAAAAAACAAAAGACGTCAAAACTAGTGGCCTTGGGTTATATGGAGCAACATTGGTCGAAGCAACCAAACAACTATGACAATAGGCCCTCAAATTATAAACATTCCACCAAATTTTGTTTTTTTATTCCCTCCAATCCACTGTCCTCTAAGCTCCATTTAACCCAACTTCTTTGGGGAAATCAGAATTGTTGTTTAACTAACCAGGACAAATGCTTGCTGGAGGACATTTTAACTTCCCTAATGTGTACATCCTCCAACTTGAGGATCTAGACTTTCCAATACAATATGAAACACCACTAGTTATATTACTTAATGAAAGTCATTTTTCTGTGTGGCATCAACAGAACAAGTATGCGTCAATACAAGGTGTAATAGTTCAAATCCAACAGAAAATGGATGTTACTGCAAATTTTCCATTGGGCATATTTATTTATCACTAACAATCTCTTAGTCTCGGTGGCTTTCGGAAAATAGAGACACTAAGAACATGTTATAGAAATCACATCACATCCTTATTTATTTCAATCAACAGCCCAAACATAGGTTTCCAGGCATTTTAACACAGATTTCCAGTATAACAAATGGGTCATTAACATATATATATGCATAAATAAATAGATAGTAAGAACAAGCATACCACAAAGAAATGTTTTCATTTAGCAATAAAACAATAATTGGACAAACCAAAACAAGGGCATGCCCTAGCCTTAGCTTTCTAGCAGATTGCCTTCAAGGCACAAAAACTAAAAAGAGAAACAAATATCAAATTCTGATAAAACAAAACTGCATAACTATCATCTTGAAAGAAAACCAAGCAGATAAACAAAAATTAAAAATACCGGGTAAGTTACAAAAAAAAGCTCCTCATTTATCGCCTCCCAGCAATCCTCAGTAAAGGGGAAAGTATGCCTTGTATCTCCTGCAATGACTGTTGTATTCTTATCTCCTCGTCAACTGATCGCTTTAGGTTTCTAATATGGCCTTTCAAGACATCAGAAGATCTAACATCTTCAGCTCTCATTTCAAGAACTTTCTTTGCCAATTTCAACAGCAATCCTGCATACTTTGGCATTGTTGAGTACTTCTGCAAAAAACCCAACAGCAAACCAAGTTCTTCTGTCTCCAGATTTGAAACACATCTCAACAACTTCTTCCTCGCCACCAATTCCTCCATAACAGCCACCACAATGTCCGGATTCTTCCCCCTCAATGCCGATACAAAAGCTTCCTTGTGCGTAAACTTCTTTAACAACTTATCATGCTCTGCCAGTTTCACTTTCTTTGGCCTCATAATCAAGAAATCCCCTTCTGAAGGCTTCTCATTTTGGCCACGACGAAAATATTTGAAAGACGAAGGCCTCAAAACCCGCTTTGGAGGCTCCTCAATAGGACCCAAACCCACAAAATTCCCCAACTCAGACCCCACATTTTTTTTCGTTTTCCTCTTCCCAGCATATATTATCCCATTTGAAGTGCCGATAACTCTAGTCAAACAATCAGGAGAGAACCCAATTGACAAAAGTGGCGATGGAAACCTCATGGAATAAGTAACCTTAAATTTTGCATAATCGAAAACCTTCATGTACCCATCTAAAGATACACTTAAAATACGATATTGTTGAGCCTCCTCACCTCTATCCTTCCAATCTTCCCTACACAAATCGAAGTCACAGTTTGTTATGACTCTCCATTGAATAGAGTAACTTCCCACCACCAATCACATCCCAAATTTTCACAGAATTCCCACCAGAAGTAGCAATTAACCCCCCGGAAGGCAAGAAAATTACATCCTCTACCGGTTTTCCATGATTGACCTCCATAACCGAGCTAGCACTCGAAACCCTAACATCCCAAAGTTTGATTCTATGATCATACGACCCCGTAACGAACATATCGTCACTCGCAGGCGATCCATCGCCGCACCGAACATAATCTTTGTGCTCGATGAACTGAGCAATTGGGGTTTCGGACGTAACGTCCCAGTACTTGACGATGGCGTCATCGCCGCCGGAGAAAAGGTGGAGCTTGTCGATGCGGGGGTAGCGGACGAGGTGGACGGGGCGGGAGTGGCCGCGGAGGCGGCGGAGGGGGTTTCGGGACTTGGCGTCGAAGACCTGGACGAGGCCGGAGTGGGAGCCGGCAGCGATGAGGCGGCCGTCGGAGCGGAAGGAGGCGGAGGTGGCGGTGTCGGAGAAGGAGGAGATGGTGGATTTGGGTTCTAGGGTTTGGGAGGAGAAGATTGTGACGGTGGCGGAGTGGGTGGCGGCGAAATCGTGAGGGGAAATTGGGGAGAAAGAGAGGGAGGTTATGGAGGAGATTACGGTTTGGGTTGGTTGGGTTTTGAATGATTTCCAATACTTTGATTCTGGTGTTGATTTTTTGGAAATGGGTTTGAGTTTTGGTTTCACTGGGAAGGTTTTGGCTATGCCTGGCTGGTCTGCCGCCATTGAAAGAGCTTGAGGAAGTTACAGTGGATGTAGAGTTCGAGTGGGCTGAGATGAGAGTCTTGTTGGCCTCTGAAGTTGGTTAGGGTTTAGGGTTTGCGAGAAGGGTATACTTCTCTGGGTTCCCTTTACATGCTTGCACGACGTCGTCTGTAGTCTATAGTCTATAGACTCTTCTGGGAACATAATCTAGGAAAAATTACAAATCATATTTATTTTTAAAAATAATTACCTACAAGAAAATTTTATGAATTTAATAATTAAAATTTAGAAAAAATTAGTCTAGGGTCCCTCTCCTATTTTTCGTAATGGAAGAGATTCACAAAATTATTTTTTGTTGTCTAAAGTCCCTAAACATATATTAGAGAAATTTGACTCTTTATCTCTCTAAACATATATCAGCTCAGCTCAGCTCTGTTTTCCCCAAATGTCTCAACTTTCTCTGCTCCTATTATGTTTTTTCATTTAGATCCAAAATCTCAACTTCACACACTCTCTCTCCTCTGACGGCCTCTCTCTCCTCTCCCTAAAATCCACCGTCGATCACTGAGGCACCGACACATTCTCCGACTGGAATGAAGGAGCTCGGAACCCTAGTCAATCTCTGGCGACGGAATCGGACAAACCGGTGGTGATCCGGTGGTACCCAGGCGCTACAATATCAGCTGTTGTTGGACTCCTAGAAGGATACTCAATTAACACAGGTTCACAAATCTTGGTATTTACATATGGGCCTGGAACTGCTGGCTCTGGGATGATTGTAAACTCAGATTTTGGTCATTCAATTAGAACTCACTGAGACCTGAATAGTGGACACGCAGCTAACTATAGAAAGTCGAGCCAGTTCTATAAACAATTATCACAGAGGTTAATGAATTCATCTATTGTTCTTGATTTGTTTGTTTGTTCTCTTGATCAAGTCGAAGCAGCTGAGCTAAGTGCCGCTATCGAGAGCTTAGGTGGATTCATGATGTTAGGGGAATCATTTGAATCAGAGCAATTCAAAAAATTCTTGCGCCACTTATTTAATCGTGATGAAGAAGGGAACTTGAAGATGTGTTTTGATGTAACTATTGAGATAGTGACGACAAAAGGCGTGAAAATCTGTGGAGCCCTTGGTCCCTGTGTTTCACTTCAGAAAAAGAACAGTTCGGTGAGTGAGAAAGAGATCGGTGAGGGTGGAACCAATATTTGGAAGTTAGGTACACTCACCAACAGAAGGGGTGGTTGGTTCTCATGATTTTCTCTGGGTTTGAGTGAATTTCTCTGGGGTGGAGAGGGAATTTCTCTAGTTTTGAAGAATTTCTCTGCGTTGAAATGTCCAGAGAAATTTCAAAGACCAAAAACAGAATTAAAAAGGAACTTGATAAATATGCAGAGAGTTGGTTCATTGTAGATTTGACTGAGTTGGGTTTTTGGGATTGATGGATGAATGGATGATACAAAGAGTTGTTGACTGCAAACAATAATTCATCAATTCACTGTTGCTGACTGCTTGTTTTCTATGTATGTTTGTCTATTATGTGTTTCTGCTTTGAACTGAAATTTTTCTGGGTTGGTCTAGAGAAATTCTCTAGTTTAAACTGAAATTTCTCTGAGTTGGTCCAGAGAAATTCTCTGATTTGGTTTGAAAATTTCTCTAGATTGGTCCCTGGTATTAAGTTTTTTCAGCATAGAGTTTGTCATTTATCCCCTGATGTTGAATCACAAGCTTTGCCCTTCATGATCATTTCCTTCCCAGAATTGTCATCAATTTATTCTCAACATTTTCAACTCAGAGAATTTCTCTGGACCAGAATTTCTCTGGATCAAATTGAGAGACCTTAGACATTATGAAAATATTAGATGTCCTTTATACTATAAAGTTTTACTACCAGGGACCCTAAAAAAAAAAAAACCTAAAATTTATAATTTTTATTATTATTTTGATTTTTTTCCAATTAGTACATTCTTTTTTAACAAATCCAATTAATACATTGATTTGTTAAAAATGGAAAAAATAAAAAATAATAGAGACCATTTTTTTTTTAATTTCTAAAATTAACTTGCCTTTAATTAAATGACACGTCCACCAACTAAGAATAGAATAGAGTGTAACTTGAGATCACTCAATCTAAACTTCAGTTAAATTTAAAAAATTTTAAGACTTGTGTATGTTGGAATTATAATTTTTATAAGCTTATTTTGCCTTCGTTTGGCAAGTTGGTTTTGAGATTTTTTGAGTTAAAATAGCCGCAAAAAATAAAACAGACTTTTTAGCCCAATAAGACAAAACATCACATCCAATCCATAATCATTACATTCTTTTTCTCACAAAAAAGTCAAAAAAACCAAAAGTCCTTCCCAAACCAGGCTTTTTAGCCCCAAGCTAAAATAACCAAAAAAGTCAAAAAGCCAACCAACTTATTTGGGTCAATTTTGAACTTAAATTTGAGTAGAGTCCACATGTCTTTTGGGGTAGGTCCAAAAAGGTAACGTGTTTCTTACCGCGTGATGAGTAACACGATACAAACGGTTCGTCAAAACCATTTATGAATGAATGAGAAGTAGACGTCGTTCTCAGATTCGTGGAATAGACAATTAAAGAAGTAAATGTGAGTTTCATTGAAATGGATTGTTCCACATTGAAACTTGAAGAGAGTGAGTATATAAGCTCTAGGTGGATAAACTTGGGTAAGGGGCACCCCAACTTTGTAGAAGGAAAGAGTTATGGACAAAGTAAGCCTTGGCTCAAACCACCACACATACGTGCTGCCAGCCGAGTCGTGCCGAGCACAGGTGTGGGTTGTGGATCGGGTCAGTCCTAACATTAATATTTTAGACAAAATTTATTTGAATTTTTTTGCATTTTTGCAGGAAATTTTTTTGAATTTCTAAATGAAATTAATTTAAATTATGCACCAAATTTTTTCTATCCAAATAGTGCTTCTTCTAGTCATTTTCTAGCAGATTTAAACAGCTTTTTCAAACAGTTTTTATAGAATTGCACCTGACAAATTCAAACTTGTTTCAACAGGTTCAAATTCAAACCTTACCTATTTGGTTCAAACTGCATCTGTTCAGTTTGAAATTTGCACCTGTTCGATTTGAAATTCATTTTTGTTCGGCTCTATAAAAGCAAACCCTCTTCTAGTAACTTTCTCATTCCGAAATTTCTCTTATTCTCTTCTTCGTGCTATTTTGCATAGATTTATTCTTTATATTATTTTTATGGAAAATTCAAAGAGTATAGAACAGATGTTTTAGTTCGCCGTACAAATTGTTTGGAGTGCTACTACAATCTGTGTAGATCATTGTATCTTGGGAGATAGACGCCATTTATCTGTAAGTACCGAAGCGAGGCGAATCTGTTTTAATGATAGAGTGTCACACACTCGACTTGATCTTTTTTGTACTTACTCATTTCGGTGAATAAATTCTGTATATAATTTATTTTTATTTGTTTGATTTGGTTTCAAGTTGTTTATTTTATACAGAAATATTGTTCCAACAATCTTAAGATAGATTCGAATTATTCTGTTTATACAGAATTTTTCATTTGTTTCTTTTTCTTCATTTCTTATATCTTTTTGTCAACACGGATGTGGCAAATAGTACTAGTGTCCACCCACCATTCTTTAGGATTTTTGACAAGGTTTGCCTTGGAAACAACTACAGAAAGATTTATGTCGTCTACAATATTGGAAATTTTGTCCACTTCGGTCATATTAGCTTGAGCAAGCTTCTTGCTTGATTTTCTTTTGCCTTTGTACTTGATATCGCAATCTTTGGGCCGATATATCTCTTTGTCACAAATGTAATATTTGTCATTAAACTTGTACTTCTTAGTTTCCACTTCATTTAAAGCCATGTGCGGAACTTTTTCCAGAATACTTCTGTTTTCTTTGCTTTTGGAGTATATTCCACTACATTTTCCTTAGACTCTATTGGATGTTTACTAGTCCGCTTATCAAAATTGCGGTTGTCCTCCTCAATCTTCAAACGCACAATCAATTTCTCCAAAGTCATTTCTTTGCGCTTGTATTTGAGGTAGTTCTTAAATTCCTTTCAGCCTTGTGGTAATTTTTCAATTAAGGTAGCAACTTTGAAGGATTCACTGAGGGACATGCCTTCTACACGAATGTTATGCAGAATGAGTTAGAGATCTTAAACTTGGCCGATCATAGCCATAGAGCCAACTATCACAAAGTTTAGAAATTTGCCTACTACGAATTTCTTCGAGCCAGCATCTTCTGTTTTGTACTTTTTCTCCAAGGACTCCCAAAGTTCCTTTGCCGTCTTGATAGGGCTGTAGATGTTGTACAATGTGTTGTCAAGTCTGTTTAAGATGTAGTTCCGACAAAGGAAATCAACATGTTTCCAGGCATCGACCGCTGCAACCACTTATTAGCCGGTTTCATTCTCGTTCAGAGTAAGAGCATTCTCACGAAAGAAACGCGTCAGGTTGAGTGTAGTAAGATAAAACATCATTTCCTGCTGCTATCTTTTAAAATCAGTTTATAAGAATTTCTCTGACTTTTCACTGTGATTGACTGGCACAGTCATAACAGAATGAGGGGTTAGAGCAATTGTAGTCACTATACAAGTACTCGTTTGAGCATTAGTTTCAGTTGCCATGAATTCTAAATTATAAAACAAAATTATAATTAGAATTTTATACTACACAAAAAATTAAACCAAAACACATAATTTAATTCTGAAAAAATAAAAGAAACAAGAATTGTAACTTTATTTCCAATTAATTTGAAAATAATATTTTATTTAAACAAATTAATTCCACATAAAAAAAATATTTCTGTAACACTTCAAAAATTAAAATACTGAAAATAGGATTTTAACTAATGAAAACTCATAAATTATTTCTGAAAATCAAAATTAATTTCTAACCAACTTCACAAATTAATATTCTGGATTGTTAATGATAACCAATATATTACTACTAGTTGTGTACAGGAAAGAAATAAACCTTCTCGTATAATCCTGTTGACCAAGTCTGCGCCCCTCCGCATGACATCGCCTTATCACCTGAAAACATAATCGTGAGCTAGTCGGCGGGTGTGTTCCGGAAGCCTCTCCGATGCCTAAGTCAGTAAGCTTGACAAATAGACAAAACCTCTGTGTATTCAGAAAGCA